GGCGGCCCGCGCGCGCTCCATGGCAACGGGCGCGAGGGCGGTGTTGAGGGGAGGCGGCCGCGAGGGGCGGGAGCGGGCGCTGAGGTGGGGGCTCTGAGGGGAGCGCTGAGGGGAGCGGGGCGCTGAGAGGGGCTCTGAGGGGAGCGCTGAGGTGAGGGGAGCTCAGGGACGAGGGGGCGAGGAGGGCGGGAAGGAGGGAGCTGTGGCCGCCGCCAGAGGCGTCGCCGCTTGCCCAGGCGCCGGAGCAGCCCCTCAGGTATAGACGGCGGAGTTCAAGCTGGGGTCAGGCTACTGAAACCTTCCCGTTTTACCGGGTCCGTTCGTGCTCCGCTCCTTTAGGGTGTTAGCTCTCCTCTCAGTGACGAGTGATCGAGATACTGCCGGCTTTTTGTGTAATTATTCCAATCTCTGTAACACCCCAAGGGAAAAAGCAAGCACCAAGCCCTCAGTGAGTACCCGGCCTTAGCCCTTTCTAAGCCTAGTTTGAACCTGAGGTATTTTTTTTCCTTTCTTGTGTAAAAACACAAACTTTCCTGCACCTAGTTCTTCCATTGTACCACAAAATGATATTTCTGTGAAAAATCTTCATCTTTTCCTCCTCTTTTTTTCCCCTCACAATGAAACTCCAGCTGGAGGGAAAAACAGCCAGGGTTTGTGTTGACTTTAAGAGAATTGGATGTTCACTTCCAGCTACAATCAGTTATCATACACGTAGGTGAAAAAGAAAAGGATTTTGAGAAATTGCTCTTCTGGAAGAGGACAAAAAATTGGGAGTTGCATCAGCACATTTTTGCCCCAGGATGAACAGTCACTAGTAATAAGATCTTAATAGACAGCTATGTGCAGTGCAGCGTAGTTTGACTCAGTGGGTGAAATAATCCCATAAAAGCAGGACAACAGGGTGTTTTTAAGATGGAAGCAAACTGGTCTGTATGAACAAGGGATAGAATTAAGATGTATTTCCATCATGACTACAAATAATTATAAACAAAATCAAACAGATTTTTCTTTTTTAACATATAGGAGGCAGATACAATATTTGGTCTTGTGTTTCAGTATCCGTCTTCCTTAATGTACTGTATCGATTTAAAGGTGTTCGAACCAAACCAATGTCTTTGCTGACTTAACCAAGTTGCCTACAATGAGAAACAAATTCTTTTGTAAGTGGATCATAATGTATATTGCCGGTCATTTTGTACAACATATCCATATTGTTACCTTTGATTTTTAGATTATGCTTGATGATGTGCTTCTTTGTCTTATGTTTCATTTTAATGGTGGGTTGTTTTTTTTTTTGCAGTGGAGTTGGGGCCATAATCTACATCAGGCTTTCCCCTCCCCTTACAGAACATGTGAGTACTCCCTTTCTTTTTCGCACCTTGCATTTAAAGATGTTAAATTTGTATTTTATGAAAGCACATTAATTGGTTAACATATAAGCAAAATTAAGATAAGCAGTTTGGTCACTGTAGCAGCTTCTCTCATCCTCAAGATCTCCAAAGTATCCGCAAGCAGGTTCTGTACAACACTACCAGTTTTTACATCAGTAACTTGAAGTAGGAAGGCAGCAATAAGAAAAGTAATATCACTTCTGATAATAACTCTTCTGTATTTCTAACACTAAGTCCTTTCCTAATAGCAGCCTTACTAATGAATAACTACACTTCTAGTCATACAGGTTTCTAAGATCATATTTTTCTGATTTCTTTATACTTGGAGCCTCTCTTTGTACTAGCAGAGTTCTCAAGGTCATCATTGTCTTGCTGTGTCGCTTCTCATGCATATTTTATTGGAACGCACAGCTTAAAAGCTGTGGAGTTTGAGTATCTGCAATATTTAACGCTTAAAATTACTGCTGTTAGGAACTTCTACAAGTTAAATAAAGATGTACTACGTTCCAGAGATGCCATCTAGTGGCGTAGCGGAGTCTGCGTGGCTGTTGCTGCATATTGCTGGTAGCTGTTGCAGAGTAGGTTTGCTGCACGAATTTGTTATTATATTAGAATAACATGGTAACAGTTATTTTGTTTTCAAATAAATTTAAACTACTCAGTTCCAGAAGGAAGACACTGTCAGGATCCATAGAATAAACACCAGGCATTTTACCACCCAAATTTCTGTAACTGTATAAGGAAAACTAGTTATTTTCTTAATATCTTGGAAACTAGCTTAAATTTACTAGTAACTGAAGTGGGGGGGAGGGAGGGGATGTCCAATCCAACAAAAAGCCCTCCAAGCTTCAACAGATTTTGTCTTCCTCTGGTAGTAGCTTTAAGGATTCTGAACTAAGAAGTAGTATCAGAAAGGTGCTGTTACTTATGCTTTAAAGTGTCAGGAATTTTTTTTTTTTCTGCATACAAAGTAATTAAATTACTAAGCATAAGCTAGATTTAATCAAACTTTTTTCTCTTCCCAGTAGTGATAAGATCGCTGTAGTTAGGCTCTGTTAGTGTTACCAACAACATGCAACAATCCATTTCTCATGTAACTACCAAGTTGATGTGACCACTTCGTGTGTTTACACAAAGCAGAATAAAACCTCCTTCTCTTTGCATTTAACCTAATTGAACAAATGTATGCAAATAAATCTTAACTAAAGCAGCACTGTTTTCACTCTGTATATGTGCTTGTGTATGTGCTTACAGAGTTCAATTATTTTGCAGACTGGAATCTACATGGATTACTCAAGACCTACGTTCATTGTTCTGGGATTTGATCACAGGCTGGTTTCCTCTGGTAAGCTGAACTCAATTATTGAGAACAAAGCAGCTATGGCACAATATAGGACCTTACATTACACATATAAGATCCAAGCAAATGGAGTTAACTACTACTCTGGATATTAAAGAGAAGCATTTTGAATAATAAATCTGTATCCTTTGTTATCTCCACTGTCTACCTTTGTTCCCCCTGTTTTGTTTTGGTTTTTTTTTGATGTTGGCATGCCCCTTAAAAATAGGCAATTTTTCTTGTTTTCATTTAGATTGTTAGTTAACTAGAGACCCAAGCCATATCACTTATGTTTTGGGTTGGTTTTTTATCCCCTTCAAAAAAACACATTCAGAACTCAAGTACTTAAGATTGGTTTGGATTTGGGCGTTTATTAGCAAAATCAGATCTTGAACACTGGCAACTGCAGATTTATTTCCTGAGCCAGAAACATCAGACCATTTAGGTTACTAGGTGCAAGGAATCAGTTCTTGTCCGTACAGCCATCACTGGACATGAGGATGCAGAGTCTCCTGTATGTAGCTGTCTCTCTGTGTAGGAACCGGTACATGTACTCAAGCTCTCTTGAAGACCTGTTTACATACTTGATTCTCACAGCGAAGCTCCTACCAAAAAACAAACAGAAGTATAGATGTACATAGTAATCAAAGGAACTGCTTCTAGAAGTGAACATAGATCCTTTGCCATGACTGCTGAGCATGGTATTTCATGACCACTCTGCTGCCATGCTACTAAGTTATGCTTAATGTTTTGAATTTAGCTATACAAGACAGTGAAACAAGTTGTTCCAGCTAAACTAAAACCAAAGCAAAACGTGCTCACTATGTGCAAATACTACAGACCTAGAAGATTTGTGCATACCACGACCACATTATAGATGTTAATTCTGTCTCTGACAAAAATAACAGAAATCTGAGCTAAATACCAGATGGAGGTCATCTCCTTCAAGCCAGTGAGTCCAGCCCCTGTTCTTCTTCTCACCAGTCTGGACGCAGACAAGTTTGTCATTTTCCCAGGTAACTAGGCTCTGTGGAAGAGGAAATAAAAATGTTTCTGTATGTCTTTGTCTCAGCTCTGCAATATACTTGTAGACAATGTCTTTTTTTCGTGGATAAAAAGGGATCTAAATATTACTCTTGAGGGAAAGTGGAACTATCTGTAACTCAGGCTCCTACCTCTGCATTGCATTACAAATGGTATTCTTGAAACAATTTCAGCTCTTTGATCATGGCATCTTAATTTTGTCACAGCCTCTTCATTTCATATATTCAGTCTTACCTTGCATTTTCTGTTATCCAGGCCTTTATTATCTTCTTCAAACTCTTCTCCAACTTTGAATTGAAGCGAATAATCTCTGAATGTGCTAGTGGTATGGATATGAAATGAATCACCATCTTGTTTGATCACTTTCTGAGGCTTCAGCATTTTTGCTATCTTGCGTGTCGCAAAGTCAATACCTTGGACAGGAGAAAAAAAGGCCAGAGTTGTGTTTGTCACCAGCCATTTGTACAGCCAGGACTTACCTTTATAACTACTAGAAGCATTTCTTAGATAGTTTGACCTTACTGCTATGTGAGGTTTGTTGGGTGGTTGTGTGGGTTTGTTGTTGTTGTTTGTGTTTTTTGTTTGGTTTTTGTTTGTTTGTTTGTTGTGTTTTTTTAAAATCTGTATGTTAGACAGATCAAGTAATTTCTTGTACATTTTACTCTTTGGAAACCAATTTACTCAATCATTGCACAATTCCTATGCAAGATTTCTAGGACTTTGAGTCAGAAGAGTCCTTTGGGAGTGGGAGAGAGTTGATTTCCCCCAACACAGACACCCCAAGCGTGGTCTCAGGCTTACCCCCTGCTTAGTTAGATGGAATAGTTAATGCCTTTCCTCTGACAAAGGATAGGCATTATGTGAATTAACAAGAAATGTTTACACTCTATGCCCTAAATAGGGTAAAATGAAGAGCAGTCCTAAAACGAATTACTCAGGCTTGTTTTCAGGACATGCCACACTATTTAAGTGCAACTAGAAAACGTCACACTTGTCAAGAGATTTGCTGGTTGTCTGTAATTATCAGTCACCTTTAACAGAATCCTGATGTTACTGGTAACACTGAGCTCAAAGCAGCGCTTCTGGAGTTTTTTCTATTTCTCTAGTGAAAGTGTGTTTCTTTAGAGGAACAGGCCATTTATTTAGCAGACAACTGAATTACATTGCTTCCCAAAAGCATGCTCAGATTTGGCTTCTAAGGAAGGGGGATGAATAAAATGGGGAGCTGTATATTAATCAATTCAGTTGTTTTCTTCACGTAGCTTAAAGGTGTCATTTTATATGACCAGTGCAAGTTTCTCCCTTTATGCAGGCTGGGGTTGTGATCTTCTTAACAGGATATGTTCAATACCATGTGCTGAACCATATGGCTCATTATGCAGTCTGTGTTTGAAGTGGGACTTTATTACTCTATGCATTACTGAAGTGTCAGAATCTGTCAGTCATGCTTTTACAGTTACCAGTTTATTTTAGCATAGAGGGGTTTGAATTCAGTACTGGCAACAGCCAAACCCATTAAACCTTAACATGGTGTGGAATAATTACTAAATCCAAATTATATTACAAATACAGCATTGTTCACACATTAAGGAAAGGTATAAAATTGAAAAGTTTCCAGGGTGAAATACAGCTGCAGCTGGTATGTGAGGAATCCACTCCATCTGTGATCCTCTGAACGATATTGCTTGCAAAGCAACACAGAGGATGGAGTAGGGTGGAGATTCTACAGCCAAGCTCTGTGATAATACAGCAGATATGGGAACGAGATGGTCCTCTGGAACTGATAAGCTGCATATTTGCTACCCTGAGCCAACAGTCTGTCAAATTTTGACAAAATGCTGTCCTTTGTGCAAACTTTGCTCGTTGTAATGTCATTACAATACCAAAACACACCTCCATCCCAAAAGCTACCCGTCTCCAGGGTGCCACCACTCCCCCTTCAGTCTGTGCCCTGAATTTTTTGTGAACTATACCTTTAAATGCAAGACGAGAGAATTTTACACCAATCATGATAAAGGTATTTGTGACTGGAGTCACTCAAACTACACCTTGAATGTAAAAAATAGTATACAAATGGCCCAAGAAAGGGGGGATATCAGGGAAGACACCATTGTGATCAAGTCAAGGAAGAATCTATCACAGACCACCTTTGACTTCCAGGAGCAGTCGACGAGCTGAGCCTTTCTTCCCCCCAAGAGGGAAGCCTTTGGGTAAGACTTAGACTGTACTAAGTGCTTTCTTGGGAAACTTAGCAATCTCTTGAGACAGTCACTTTTCTACATTTATAGCCAGGCTGTATTGTTTATAACCTTGTTGCACATTTTGTACAATTAACAATACTTTAATTTGCACTTGCTTTGCAGACAGTGTATTTATCACCAGCAATCCGTAAGAACCTTTATATCTGTTGCTTGAATAAACGGCACTCCTTAAGTAGCTAGTCATTTGGGTTTCTCACTGAATGCAACCAAAAACCCGAGAGTGGCCGTGCGAGTTCATGAGCACGACTCGACTGAAGGTGCAGTCCACTATTAGTGCATCTGGAATCATGATAACTTAATATATTGAACGTGACTGGACTGATAGTGGTGAATTTAAATCTAGCCTCCCACCACAGTGAGGAGTGTTAGAAGGCAAGGGGATTCATTTTCTGCCAAAATTATTTTGCCTCTTAATGCAACACATGGTTTTAAGAACGTATAAATACAAACTATTTATAAATCTGTTCTTTAGGGATAGAAATTAAATTGAAGGAAGGGCTAGGCTTGGAATAGCCATGTCTTTATCCATAACCCTCTAATTACTCAGATGATCAGATATTAGCTTCCTCACTCTGCTTACCCTGGCAGAAAAGTTTTTAATTCTAGCTCTAGAATATTGATTTCAGTCTTTGTTTTGTTCAGTATACTGGCAACCAAACAGGAGTAATTAAAGATAGGTTGTAAATCATTAACAGGATTTTCTGCCTTTTAATTAATTTCCCTCGATTACATGCTGAAAACAAATGGCATTTTTCAGAAGATTGGTAGTTATATTCCATTTAAAAAGGCCTTTACTTAGCTGGACAATGTTTAATCTCAAGGAACAGATGGAATCTCTACTCCGTTTGAGGACATTAACAGATGTATTACTTAGTATTCAAACTGAGGAATAAATCCTTATTATGGGAGCACCCTTTCCCTTTTTTTCTAATTGAGAACACAGCAGGATTAGAAACAGAGTCAAGTTCTTTCAGCATGTTAAAGATACCAACTAGACAGTTTAAGTAGGTCACCCAGCAGAGTTACAGCCAGAGAACAGATTTGATTCTAGCTGTGTAAACGATAACCGTCACCAATAACTGACACCGATGGTCACCAGCTTACTCAAGTCAAAAAAGCAGAGGCGGGTGGGAGAGGCAGGGAGAAGAGAAGGCAACGCACAAGGGTTCCTGCTGTCAGTCTGAAATGAACTCTGTACAAGAAAGCTAATGAAGTACTGAGAACGTTCTTAGTTCCCCATTAAAGCACAGTTAGTCTCTCTCTCTAAAATATCTGAGCAAGGTAAGAGGCTACCTTCAAGCACTTCAAAAATGGGACAGTTAGAGAGACTTATCAACAAGTCACAGTAACAAGAGAAGTATTTTGTAATTTGTTTAAAGATAAATGACATTAAGCTAAACAACTGCTTGGAAGTCGCAAATACCCAAGCGTTACTTTTGGTTATTTAACATTTAATTAACCCTAGATATAGGGTCTATAAGTTTGTGCTAAAAAAGCAACAGAAATTGAGTGGACAGGACAGTCTTCCTGTCTCTGATGAAATCCATACAAAAATTCTACGTTTAACAAGTGCTAGCCTGAGAAATTCCTGAAAGCTGCAAGGACACTTCAGTGACAGGCTAAAGTATAATTAATGTTGGCTTTTTATGAATAAACAAAGATCCTTCTATTGTTTTTTGCAGAGAAAAAAGCTTCAGCAATATCTAAGCTTTAGAAGAACTCAGATTCTTAAAATTCAGGGGGACCCTTACAGGGGAAGGAAAAAAGATAGAATCAGGTATTTTCACCTACCTAGTGCCACCATATAACCTTCAAAATTGTCATTGCTGACAAGGTTCCAGGTTCCACTGAAATCCACAGGCATTGCAGACTGTCAAAAGAAGATACAGTTGCTCTCTGGCCAAAAAGGCAAAAATGAAGAAGTAATTTTCCAACCAGACCTTATATAAGGAAGGCTGTGGGTGGGATTACACCCCAGAGCCCTTCTGATGGAGGGGAAGGGTACTATTGTTGAGCCAATAGGTGAGAGGGTATTTGTAGATCAGCTTCAGCTGCATTGGAGGGAAAAGTTCACAGTCTCTGAAATCTGTGTGTGGAGCAAATGTTAATAGCCCAAGAGTCACAATGCAAACCAAAAACTGTTTTGAACTGTTTCTGTTCATCTTGTGTACTTTAAAGGGAACCATGGACAGATTTTGTCATTACTAAAATTCCCTGCATGTGTATGAGATCTGTGGCTTTATGATCTGAAATCTACATATTTCTTGAAAAGGTGATCTACCCGCTTCAAATACACACTATATTTGAACAGTCAGGGGACGACTGTTAAACTGTGAATGGTATCACATCAGCAAATTCTAAAGCAGTACCTATGACACAGTAATAGAGATAAGTATTATGTCTTGTTGGTTTCTGTCTGGAGTGAATAGTTGTCAGCATCATTGTCTGGTGGTTAGAACAGAAAAGTGAAAGACAAATCTTGCTTGTATATGTTAGTCTCTGATATAGCTCTACTGTGCTTACAGCTTACCTATTTGTGTTCTGGTTTCTTTAATGCTGTTAGTTATATCCTAGTTAAATGAACAGACATATACAAAATCCTGTATTTTTTCAGATGCCTTACCAACCAGGAAATTTGTGTAACAGTTAGGCATGAAAGGGCAGATCCAGAGGCCTGAGCTCTGTTCCCAGTTAAGCAGGTCTGTATTTATCAGTTTTCCTAGATGGGAAAGAGGATGAATACGTGTTCTTGCAATCCACTTTAAACTCCTGAAAATAGCCAATAACAACAAGAAATTCAAAAAGTGCTCTCATATATATAGAAGATGTAGCTCTCCCCTTTGCTTTTTACTCTTGCCACACACAGTAAGGGAGACACGATACAGAAATTATTCCCACTGATGCTTTATTAGATGCTATACATTGTGGCAGAGCATATAGGGAGAAGAGCACAGGATGCAGCAGGTAAGCTGCAGTATTGGACTTTATCTTCAGCAAGGAAGTGAAAGAAATCTCTTAAGTGATGACCCATCAGTGTGTTTTGAAAAGTGAATAAAAAATGCTTGACTTCAAAGATAAAAGATATATACAGGATTTTGAAGTGAGATTTTATTTCCTTTAGAAGAGACACAATTCTCCAGTCTCTTGCAGTTCCTCCATCTCTGGTTACTTTTTGCAAACTGTATGCCTTATTGTTACCCTTTGCCAGATGAGAGACACGAAGGTAATGATCCTGAGCAACTAGGCACTCTAGAATTGCTAAGTATAGGAGAGCAAGAGAACTTCATACCTCAGTTTCCTCATCTGTAAAACAGAGAAAACAATCATTCCCAAAGTCACATGTACATTTTGAGCATTAGGTTAACCCCACATTTTAAGGGGTGAGATGGGACAGTAATGAGCACCACAATGCAGGCTACATTCAAAGAAAAACCCCAAATTGATGGGCAAGGGAAATCTTAACTGTGTGTCTACCACAGTAAAAAGGGAACTTGATATTCTGAATCTTGAATGAGGAAACTCATCTACAGCTATTACATTTATCTATTCACTGACTCTGGTTAGGCTGAATAAAAAGATAATATCTTGCAGAGAAAATTAAATTTCTCTGAACTTTAGCTACATTTTTGGAGCTGACAGTTTGACCCATATGACTCATAGAATCACACGACTAGGAAATTAGGACGTCAAAGCTTGTTTCCTGTTTGCAGATGGATATTGTTCTCTAACCTATACTAAACTAGGAATGACACAGAGAAATACAAATTGTTTCCTCTGGATTCAAACAGTAACATTTCACCCATAATTTGCTATTACGAGGTTATGGTAGTAAAGCACTGTTGCAATATTACTGACTCTTCCAAGTAAAGAGAAGTTAGTACTTGGGTAAGTGATGTGTAAAAGCCTGGCTATGACATTTTACTTTAAAACTAAGATTATTTAGATTGTTCGGGATGTGGTGCTTCTTTCTGTAAGTCAGTTATTTGATCTCAAACTAAGATTTACAAAAAAGTACTAGGATTACCACTTCAAGGCTCCGCCAAAGAATCGCCTATGGCCCTTTTTGTAAGAACTGCTGAGTGCTCTGGCGATGCCCTATGATGGGTCATTTCTTTCTCCCTTAAAAATCCCTTTTTGTGGAAAGAATTTTTTTCCATTTCCATCTTAATTGCTGTGCAGCATTGTCCATCTAACACATTGCATTAAGGATTAGCCTCATTACAGAGGTAGATAAAGTGGCTTCTGCTGCTTTTCCAGTATTTATAAAATATTTTGAGTCTGAATTACACGTGGCGTAAGGGCCCTACGTTCTCTTAATACAACAGAACCGAATGCAGTGATGTAAAGAAAAAAAAAAGCCTCTTTTTTGTTTGTAGAACATCTGTGAATGTGTTATAACTCTTCTATAAAGAAGTTACTGAACTGCATTATTCACAAACCTTACATTTTGAAGCATATAGATTCTCTTAATAATTCAAACAAAAATGAGATGACAGCAAATAAAGGGAGGTAGAATTCTATTACCATGATATTCACGGTGCTTCTCTAGTTTATATTCACCTAATACAGACAGTACACTGTTAGATTCAAAACCAGATTTCTAGCAAAGAAAAACATTTCACTTTTGTACAGTCTTAATATCGTACCATTTCTTCTCAACTCCAGTTGCAGAAAACAACTCTGGCTATATACATTTGGCTCAAATGTAAGAGCTCATTTATTATTTGAAATAAAGGGACAACTGTCTGAGAATCAGTGCAATGATACTACTATTAATTTATATCCATTAAATCAGTGGCTGTAAACCAGTTTCTGAAGTAGGTCTGTCCTTCCATGAGAAACCATGCTGAGCTTAACATACAGTTCTGCAACATGAGTGGAAAAGTAAAGCACAAATTATTTCTGGGAGCAAATTGCGTGACGGCAGATGAACAGGCTGCATATCTGAAAGGCAGGCAATGCATCACTTCAGCCAGGAGTAAATTTTTCCTTTCCAGGATAGATCTAAATTATTTCTTTGAGACATACCACATGTTGGCAATTCTTTAAAAAATGAGTTATATTGATTTACAATCAGTAAGTGGACCATTTTGAAATTAAATGTCTTTGTCTGTTAAGACACTGTAAGTTATTAAAAATATTTGTGTTACTATTTTATAAATAGCAGTCAGAGCAGTCCGAGTTAAAAGGAATCAGAACATTTTTTGTTTGTTTGTTAATTGTCACATGCAAGTGTGAATTCTTGTACTTAGTTCATTGGACTGTGAAAAAATGTCTAAAAATGAAAACCTTATTGATTAAAAACGATTGTGCAGATTCAGTTATTGAGTGCAACAAGCCTCAAGGCAACTAATATGTACTAAAGCCACAGAATTAGCCTACTATTTACTTTAAAAAAACCCAAACAAAACCCCAACCCCCAAAAACCACACCTTCCTGTACTGAACTGTAACTTATTTCACAGCAAAAAGTTAGTTGTATAGTGGCTGTTAGTTCTTGGAAGCACTTGCATTTTTCTGTAAAGCAGCCAACACAACCCCAGCATTCCTTTCTTCACTCTCTGGAGTATAGAGATTATTTTTTTCTATGTATGCTTGAACTACATCAGGTACTAGGTAACGAATGCTCTGGCCCCTCCGCAGTGCTCTCCTAATCTTGGTGGAGGAAATGTCATTTGTGATCCATTCTTCCACAAGGTGAATGTTATTCTTATGTTTCCACAAAATATCAGATTCATAGATGAATTTCTCAACGCTGTTTCCAGCCCTGCTGATGCATACAAGGCCATAATTTTTCACAATTTCAGTGATGTCCTCCAACTTCCACAGATTGGGGATCCCAAAAGATTCCAGCATGTCACTTCCACAAAGCAGTTTAACCTGTGGGACACCTTAAAAAGAAAAATAAGTGAGAAACAGGGCATGGTTTAGGCCACCAGATTTTAGCTAACTTGATGGGGACATTTAATTTCTAGGCTACATCTCTGTAACTTAATATAATGATTAATATGAGACAATTGAATGAAATAAAAAAGATTCAGAGCATAACATTTATAATTAGTAGCCTCAATATAGAATTTTTCTGAAAAAAAGGCTATGGGAGTCCCTTCGTTCAAAAGGACTGGAAAATTAACTCTGATATGCTCATTTAGCCTTGGGGTGAATCAATCACTGTGAGGATCAAAGTAAAAGAAAACATAGAGAAAATTCCAGAATAGCTAAGTTGAAAGGATCCTGTAATGCTGTTAAAACTTTAAGTGACATTCCATAGTTCCAGAAGTGGAGCTAGCTTTTATGGGACAGGGGACAGAGGGCATTATGTAAAAGGAAACCAAATATGACCAAAAAACCCATGACTTCGGGGTGTCTCTTCCATACTGTGTTTTATCGGGAATCTAGAGAAGCTTATACTTATAATAACTTATAATATGATCCAAAATTTCCAGCTGTAGCTACAGTATAGTAAAGTTCTGTAGGTAAATGGATAGCACAGACCTGTTTCAGTTCAAATTTCTATTATCTTGAGCATTTTTCATGTCCTCTATATGTTATCTTTACAGTTGTCTTGTTACGGAGCCTACGGCTTTATGTTGTGGGATCTCAGGGAATAAACTTGTTCAGTGAAATCAGAACCAAGAACTAGCATCAATAGCATCAAAAAAAAATAACTCATCAGTGCAATTCCCTTGAAATAGCAAGTATTGTTAAGCACTTCGTTTGCAAAGAAACTTAACTTTTTATATCAGGATTCTGATTTTTCTTTTTAACCGGGTCATGCCTATTCGGTTCCTGTTTCCTCTTCCGACCTGGCTTAGTTAAAGGTACAGCATTCTGCAGAATATTAGTGCCATCGGGAGATAAAAGCTTTTGATGGTGGTACCTGCAAAACAGATGTATTTTAGGTATTTTAAAGATGTAGGAGAATATAGGGAAGAGCTACTAAATAATCCTTCACCACTTTCTCCTGCAGTTCGGTCCCAGACAAACCATCCAAGAACTGATCTGCTGGAGCTGGGACTTGTGAGAATTGGGTCATAAAATGGTCAAAGTGCAAAGACTTCAAAGCAACAACGACAGGTTGGTTTGTTTCTTTTTTAGTAAAAATTCTTTTTAAAAAGAAGAACCTCAATGAAGTACTAGTGACTGAAAGAGTGAAAAATGTAAAACTTTAAAAAAAAAGATACTTCTTCAGGCAATTCTCATGCCAGCCTTTAACTACGGCTTTCATTTACGATGCTCATATAAATGGAATAGACTTCACTGAGTCTATTCATGTGATTTGGGATCAGACTGCTATTATTCTAACTTGTTAGAGCTAACACCATTCCTTATCCCTCTACAAGTTCTTGAGACTTTGTAGGGTTTGACTGAAGAATACCTTAAAACTTTTAGTGTTTCCAACCACTCACTCTGGCTGCTTTCCCAATCATCAACTTCCACCCAATCGGAGTTTTTGGTAGCTAGTTTTGCCATAGTTACTCGGTGATTTGCGCCGATCAGACCTTTCTTCTTATACGCATCACCTACTGGTGAAATTATTCCTTTGATGACTTTGTATTTTCCTGTGGAAAAAAACACATCACACAAGAACACAAAAAGTGATTGAGCAGATGTTACTTCTACTGTATTGTGTTTAAGCCATGGCATAACCATTATTCACTGCCATCTCTTAGAACACCAATGCCTGCTCTGATAGCCAGCCCAGTGGAAAAGTACGGTACGCAACTGCCACTGCACAGGGCAGCATGATTAAAGATTTAGTAAGATATATTAGAAAGATACATTTCTATAAAGAAAAACTATAAAACTCACGCTTTAGCTCATTAAAATTAGTAATAAACAACACATATGTAAGACTGTTGTCTCATGTATTTGGCCCACGTGGTTTTGTATGATACATACACGCATTCTAGCTTCAATATCTTATTAGTATTTCCAAAAATACCTGTCACTGTCAGACAGGTGTTCATATACACAAAATATTCACCTGAAATGTCTAGTTATCAAAGCTGTTTTGAACGATATAAATGACCATCCTACCCGTTTCATGGAAGTAGTCCTTAGCCAGCTCAAAGAGCCTTAGATGCATGTTGGTGATGGGATTGAAGGACCCACAGGCCAGCAGCACCACTTCAGTCTTCTTGTCGGGATCTTCCATAGCCATTCCTCACAGCTACAGAGCCAACTGGAGAATGTGGGTGCTAGTTACCAGCTGCTACAAGAAAAGATGAGATAAAAGAAAAGTTATTCTTTCTTACTTGTGCTGCCAATAAGCAGACTCCAAGATCAAATTGAACACTGTCTTTTCCTCCCATCAACATTTGGCCTGTGATTGTTCATGTGATGCTGCATTACCCAATTTTTAAGAGATTAAAGCCACTGCCTCCAGTTCTTTCTGGTTATCCCTGGACAGAGGTACAACTCAAGGAGCTGAGGCTGCAGTGCATTATGTTGCAGAAAGGAGGAAAATTCTTCCGTGGGGCTTCGGACACCGAGGATGTAGAGACAAGAGAGTGTTAAGAAGAAGTAATATGTAATAGGTAAGGGAACCCAAATTTGCCTTGCCTGTGTATTATCACAGCAGCTGTGATTCCCTCCTATATGCAAGAGGAAATATCTTTTAAAAATGAAATCACTGAGAACAGGCTGTTTGCCTAAAGAGAGGACGGCGTTCTGCCCACTATGAAGAAAAGCAGCTCATGCAGAAAAAGCGCATGAGGAGAGATTATTGGTCCTGATTGCAGGACAAACCCTATTACAGCTTTGCAGTTTTTTTAAGATGCCAATGCCATCAAGTGCCAAGAGACACATCTGAAGGGAACTTCCTTCCAAGTAACTTCCTTCCAAGTAACTTCCTTACTTCTAGCGCTTTCAGGGAGCAATAGAACATCCTACCACAGTTCCCAGTGCTGCTACTCCAAATCACAGTGAATCTTTTCAGCAAAATCTCTAGAACTAACATTATATTGTATTAAATTCTGGAGGAAAGGAGCATGAGCATTTTTCATTCGAGATTTATTTACATTTTACATACTCTTGGTATGTGGGAAGAGAGTGCTATGGACTAAATGCAATAACAACCAAACTGCTTTGCGTTGCAGAAAGTATATGGCAGATGTACCAGCTGACCAGCTGATAGATGAATAGTGCATTAAAAAAAGTTTAGTGAAAGCTGCAATTAAATACCAGATTTCTTTTCCCTTTTTAAAAATACAACAGCGCTGTTCCAATTCTGAACTTGTTTCAGAAAGCTGCTTAAGAACCGGTGAAAATAAGGAAATGTCACCACTGATCTTTTTCACCATTACATGGATTTTTGCTTCTCAATATTCTTTTCTTTCATGCGAACATTCTGGCTGGCCAAGATGGTTTCCCCCAGCCTGGCCCTGAACAAATGACAACTGGAATATGTTATGGGCCCATCTCCTGCCCTTGCTGTTGGTGAGACGTGTGACATCTGTGTTGAGCGCTGAAGAGTCTCCCATTGTCTCTACAACATCCCTGCTGCAAAGGTCACCCGCACAGTCCTTCTCCTTTACAGAGAGAGCAGCTCAGACACCACCACAGCTAAATCTCCCAACAGCTATCATCTACCAACATCAAACAGCCCTTGAATAAAAGGAAGCCTCACAAGGCTTGGCATTTTGCAAGTGTTGGTACTTTTCAGTGCTTTCAAGAGTTTCACAGACTTTTAAAATATTCTGTATTACTGCAGAGCAGTTCAGCATTGAAGGGCCTGGTGTGGCTTGGAATGCGGTGCTCTGAGGGGCATCGCTGGGGGTTCCCATGGGAACAGGCAAGGAAAGGAGTGACACTTCCCTTTGTAAGGCAGAAAGCCCTACTTTCTAAAGAAAGTGACTCACGCTGCAAATTTGAAAAGGGTTTTTTTCTTTAAAAAAAAAAAGCAAGGACAAAAATAATATAAAATGTTGAGATGAAAATATATAGCACCTTTTCTGGAGTTGGTCAAATGTCCTTTTGCAATGTCTGCTGCTTGTGGAATGTACAGTCTTCAGAAACAGGCAATTGTTGCACCACAAATTCACCCTGTAGTTCTTCCTGTCTGCCTAGGAATTGGGAATATAACTCAGTAGTTTGCATATACCCTCAGTCTCCTGATGTGTGCTGACATCCTCTGCCTAGTCCTCTCTGCCTAGAAAAGAGCTGCCCAGCTGATGTGGGGAGCAGAGGAAACCACAGAGGTCCCATCCCTTGATCACCCTCACGGGTACCTCGTCCTTGTCACCAGCACCCTCAGAGCTGGGTCCGCTTGGCAGGAACTGACCTTCCCAGAGCTCCAGCTTTTTGGGGGAAAGCAATGCAATTTGCACATCCCAGGCGAGAAAAAGAAGAATAGGTTCCAGTGATGATTAAAGCCCAGTCACTGCCTGAGCTGTACCTGGAACTATGCCTATTTGTATTGCATATTAACATAAGTAGTTTTGATTAATTACGTATCATTTGGCACTGCTTGACACAACTCTAATTATTGCAGTTTGAGCCCCAGAGGCAGATGAGCAGCCTGGCTCCTGCTCTCCAGAGCTGAGAGAGACCCATATCCAGGTAAGCGCTCAGTTTCACACAACTGAGAACAGTCTTGAAGTAACAAATGCTCTCTTCTGCCAAATAGTACACGAAATATTTATAAACCCTCCCTACAAAGTTTTAATAAGGGAAAATAAAGTCATATGGCCTTCACTCGGGTTGTCCCTAAGCGTGGGACATCCTGGATTGTTTTCCCTTCTCCTTCAGAAGGAAAATGACGTGCCCTGTCATGTGCCCTGTACATACGTGCTCATGTATAATCCCATCATGTTTATCCATGACCTCGCCAATATTTAGTGTGTGCTCTTTGCGGAGCTGCTGGTGCTGGGTTGGACACCTATTTGTACTAAAATGTACTAAATTTGTACTAAAACCCACCCAATAACGCTGGCAGTAGGGTTTGGGACGGTTCTGACCACCAACCTGTCAGCTTCTGCAGATTAGCCAATAATTGTGAGCGTACAATGTCAATCCCATTTACATTTCAGAGGTAAATAATTATTAAGCACGCTTAATAACACACTCGCGGCAGATAAACGTCATCAAGTGTTAAGTTTGCGGTGCGGAGGCTGTGGCTGGGAGCTCTCACCCGTTTCGGTTCCTCTCCCCGACCTCCTCCCCACAGCTCCGCGCCGCCAGAGGCCTGCA